GTGAGAAGAGGATGACAGTGAAACAAAGGTGTGTGGCAAAGGGGGAGCAGGAGAAAACTGTGCCAGGGGTCAAAACCTTGGAAGAAGAAAGCACCGGACAGCTCAGCGCGCCGGCGTTACCCAGACGAGAGCTGGCTGCACTGTGAGAGCCCAAGATTAGCACTAAGCCGATTGCAGCGCGAGGTGGGATCAGGAGCAATTAATTTAGCACCCAGATAGTTCCAGGAAGAGGCTGAAAGAACTTTTGACAAAGCAGGGATCTCACACAGATTTTCTGGTGTGTCCCTGTGCGCCGCGCACCGGCTGACTTAACATTCCTCGCTCCGTCCTCGCTCCTCTGCAAATGAGCCGGCGGAGAAAGAATCCGCTCCGAAAGACAAGAGGCCGAGAGCACGGAGGGCTTCAAAGAGTGTTTAAATGGCGGAGGGAAGGATGAAAGAAGGATGAAGACGCTTGGCAGAGGCTGACATCTGCCAAAACAAACACCTAAAGAACAGGACATTCTCTTGTGAGCAGAAATGGGCCGGCCTGTTCCAGAGGGCTCTCAGAAATGTCTCCGACCCTGCGTCACCCATTTTTATTACAAAACAGCTTCCTGGTGCCTGACTTCAGGGGAAACGCGGCCTATTTTTCCCCTTTGTATGTTTAGAGATTATGATTCTCCTTTAATTTAATTCGGAGTTGGATGTTAAACCCTCTTTTTGTAAGTCGCGTTGGATAAAAGCGTCTGCTAAATGTATAAATGTAAATCTGCTAAATATAGAAGCATAAAAGCCATAACTGGAAACCTTTACAGTTTTGGTCTTTCACTTTGGGAACGCGATGACACTGTAACAGATGTTTGTTTTTTTTTCCTTAAAATTACCCCAAATTTGATTATTAAACTTACCCAATATCCACTATATCAATTCAACTCTACAAATGTGTTTAAGGGAGGACTCAAAAACTTGAAAGATATTGGAAAAAGTTGTTTTTGTCGGGTAGCGCCGTACACACAGCGTTTATTTCCTTTTCCTTAAGAGCAAGCAGAGTTCAGAGTAAGTTTGGGACTTTTGATTGTGAATCAGTTTGAAAAAACAAACAGTGTGCTCCTCCTACCAGGCTCGGCATCTGCTTGCGTCCCTCCCACCCTCCTTGTTCCCCCCCTCCCTGCAGTCCTCCCCAACCTCTGAAAACACACGCTGTCAGGCTGACATCATCAGACAAGAGCTCCCCCTACGTATGTGAATCCTCACCTCTCACAGAAAACCTCGTGGGCTCGCTGTCAGCAGCCAAATCAAAAGGGTCCATATAAAAGGGATTTGATTATTTTACAATTTTTATTAAAGGACAGATGAATTAAAAGGGGACAACGTACAGTCTTCATCCACCCATATCTATCATGTTATCTACCAAATCTGTGACAGTCCATTGATTAAAGATTAATTTAGTTTGGTTTAAAGAATTAGGAAAAAAAAAAGAAGCAACTCTTAACAAGGGCAGCCAAAACATATAGCATGAAATGACTTTTTCATTTAGTCAGAGGTGACTGTATTTTGAGTCTCCCCAGCTTCTACATTAATCAGATAAATAACCCGAAGTTTGATAGTAATAGCTTTGCTTTGAGGGTACTTGTGCTGAAGCAATAATTTAAAGAAACACACATGCATTAAGAGCATAATTAAAATTCAGATTCCTTTTGGTCATATGTCGTCTCCACGTGCGTTAATATATTGGGTAGTAATAATACAATTATAGGAATATTTCCTTTAGTTTATGTACAGCAATGATAAATTATCATGAGTGAAAACTTGCTTCAAAATTCATTTTTGTCCAAAACAGCTAAACCCAGCCGTAGTTGTCCAGAAATGTGAAACCCAGGAAAGAAAGTATCAAAAGTAAAAAAAGAATCTAACTGAACTGCATAGCACTGGAGATTAGTTTAAATTAAGGCTGCTCTATTATACGAGAGCCCACCCCAACTGAGATGCGCAGGTATATCTGATGTACATACATTGAATATAATTTGCTTGATAAAATACTCCAAAAAAGGGACATTTACCTCATGATTTTGTGCTGATATTTTGTGGGTGACATTAGACCAACTTTTTAATTTCTTTCTGGTCACATACCTGACGCTTAAAGCTCTGTGCACCAACCCACTCGGAGCAGTAGAGGGAGCACGTCAGAAAGCCTTGTGGGATCTACATCCGCATTGAAAATATGGTTGTGCAATATCTTTGCAATGGTGGTCAATCTCACTGCACACCAGAGGAGGGAGCCAACCGGTCTCAATAAGGAATCCTTTGTATACTCATGGTATAGCATGGCACATGGTGAACAAAGTGATTTACTGTCAGTCATCTCTGCATTCCCAGCCATTGCCGGCATGCACTTTTGGTTGTTTCTAAGACTTGTTAAAATTACACAACAGATTGTCTGGATACAAATGGATACTGTAGATTTTCCCTCTGCCTGGCTCCTATGATGGTTTTCTCGTGGCACTGTAGAATACAAAAGACAGGAAACCTCCATGTGTATGCTAGTGACTGAAGAGAAAACGAAAATGATTGTCTCAGTCAGTAACTTTCAGGTATACATGGATTAAGTAAACATAAAAATACACCTGTAATTGTGAACAAATGATAAAACACAACCCATGGAATGGCTTCACATTCTTTATTTCAACAAGACACTGTAGCAAATGGAAAACTAGGTGTCAAAAATGTTCTTCTAGGCACCCTTACAGAGTTGGCACACATGATAAAACACAAACAGTAGATTGAGATTATGCAACCATAGCACTAAAGGCCATTTAAAACATTTCAGCTCTTACTTCCACTTCATTTTAAAGAATATTGACAACACAAACACATTTCAGTGCTCATTACCAAACAATTCAATACTGATAAGTGTGTTACAACATATACCTTAAAAAAAGACCTTACCTTAACCCTACTTAAACTTCAAGTCGTCGAAAGTAGAAACGCATCAACGTTGACCAAACGTAATTTGTTCTCCTCTCCACCTTAATTTTGTCTAACAAGCTAAGGAGATTTGTCTCTCCTTGAAGACAGGGCTAATTCCTGAACTACTTGACACCAAAATGATGCACTATACGATACAAAACTACCACATACTAACTGCAACAACTAAAAGGTAAACTAGGCTACTGATAACTCGATATTAAGCTCAACGTCGACCTTATTTGTTAAATAACACACCGATATACCAGTAGCTGGCTAACAAAATGGCTTCAAGTTTCTACGAGACGAGACGACTGGAAATTCTGGCTAGCGACCTTCCAGGAAGATTCAACGCTTAATAACCGGCCATATTCACAATAATGACACACAATACAAACTAAGCCATTCATTCTCTTGCTACGAAGCTGGAGTGTTTCCCTACATTATTAATGGATTTCTCGCCTGAAGAGTTAGCCAAAAGAAAGGAATATTCCAGACTCCATCTTTCCTCGTTCACAACAAGAAGCATATCGCTTAACACCGCCATGTTGAATGCTAATCGAGAAGTATGCTAACCGTAGTAGCAGTATTAATGGTCAGAAAACTGCTTATATGAGTAATCTCACTGTCAGGTAAAGCAGTAATTAATACAGGTAAACGACTGATTTAAAAAAGAAGCGGCTCGAAGAAACAAATCGTTTCTTATTTAGCAGCAAACTGGCGCGTAACGGTTACTGTCAAACTAACCCAGCAGGCCTCGTCGCCTTCTTTAAAAACACGGTAATCGGTAAAAACATTTTAAAACACGGAACAAAAAGCCATCACATCCGTCTTAAATGTGTACTGTAACTACAGACGGAGTGTAGATGCCAAACTGAACACTCAGGGATCGTGAAAATGCTATTAGCTAGGTTGCTAATTCATAACCCAACGTCTAAATTGCTGTTTAAAATAATATACAATATATGAAATTCCAACTGCCAAATGGATCGTCGAATTAATAACTCATAGTTTTAAGTCAATTAGCGAATACTTGAATACTTAAATAAAATTACTCAACCGCCAAAACAATATGTTTCAGAGAGACTTCACAACGAGGCCTTGGATAAAGATACATTTTTAAAGAAAAATATAAAAAACTTGAACTAAAACAGCTATACAGACTATGATAAAACATACAAGACGCAAGCCGTTGTCAAAAATGACTTAAAAATGTTGAAAAACAGGCGTTCAATGAACAGTCAAGGCTTCCCCCTGAATTTCCTTTGAGGTCCGCCGAAAATCCGGTGCCACTGGCCGGCCATCCGTCGCACTCGAGTCCGATGCTTGCAAATAAGTCCCGAAAATGCAAAAATGCACTCAAGAAATTTAAAAAAAAAGAATAATATTTTCTAGAAAACTACGATAATAGTCCATTGTACTATATTTCAAGCTAAAGGTATAATGCGTTTCGACCATTTTCTGAAGTTTAATCAAAGCCCTTGGAAGGCCTCAGCACTGAGCCTCTTTTCTAAGAGCCCAGGCTGATCCAGAGCGAAACGAACGGGGGAACAGATATTTTTTTTAATTTTGCTCTGAGGGAAGAAAGTTACATCGGGCAAAGTCGGCAAATATCGGAAAGGGGTGGGTTTTGTTAAAATTATTATAATCAGGATAGGTTCTCCGTAGCTATTGGGCTCCCATTTCGCACTGCTACATATTAATAAGTCAGGAGACCAATCATAAAAAAAGAAAATGAATATTTACAAGTTGCATGCAAAATAGAATAAGTACCTCCCATTCGGTTTTACTAAAACCAATAGGATTTAGCACAGATTAAATCATTGCCCGCCTATCGTTTTGATTCGTTAAAAAAATGAACGTGCTTTACAATTGGCTGTACGTGTGATATCATTAAATATTCATACGACTCTCTTGAATGGCCAATGAGCGTTTTACTACACGGTTCCATGTCCCACCTCCCGAACAGGCAGTCCCTGTTTTCCCGTGCGGGAAACCCCGTGTAAAGTCTAATCTTTATAAGGCAGCGTTGTGCACCTCTCAGCTCAGAAGCGCTGAGAGCGCTCCACAGAGTAGATCAGGAAAAGGGAAGGGAGTGGGAGACAGATAGTTAATGTAGGAAATAAACATAAATAATCCGCTCTAAAGGCAGTCGACAACAGAGGTCGTTGGAGTATCGCCTCCGGAGACTTTCCGGTCACCGTTGGCGGCCTGACCAGAACCTTGGTGACAATTTAAAGGCTGTTCCTGCTCACAAAGCGGCGTGCCGAGGAAGGACGCGTCTCTTTGAATAGACAGGATGCACGGACCGCCCTCCGGCGACAGCGCATGCCCATTGCGCACGATCAAGAGAGTTCAGTTCGGCATCATCAGCCCAGATGAGCTTGTAGGTTTTCTGTTTGGGGGTTGGATTTTCTTTTTTCTTAAGTTATTCGCTCAAAGGTCACACATTTGTCACGGATCTTATATATTAATCGATTAGATTAGCATTTATGGCAAATACATGGATTTCTAGGAAAGTGTAGGATCTTGCTGTTAGCCTAGCTAGCTCTGTCGGGCTTGAGCTAACTAGCATGTTGCAGGAAGTTTGAAAAACTTGAAGCACCACGTTATTTAAAAATATCCATACAATCACATGAATTAAACCCCTTGTTTATTGATGTAATACAACATTTAGACCCTCCATGAAATTAAGTTATGGAATGTTTAGTTGAAATTTGTAATGGACACGTTTCGAATTTGCTAATGCTTACGATGTACCTATCACCTGGTTTTCTGATTAATAAATAAAAGGTAAATTAAATAACTTCTGAAATGCACGTTTTCTAAATTTATCGGTGATGAATGTTTATCACATCTAGTGTATTAAAATGAAAATGAGTTTTTAGTTCCACGTGAGCCATGTTACAGAGTTGCCATAGACACATTATCACTCACTATAAATAGTTTAATGATTTAATTAAATTGGGATATGTGCAATGATGTGAATAATTATGAAAAGATGCTCATTTAAAAATGTTTATTAATAAATTACTGTTCTACTTGGAATGGAAAATGTATTTATTTTAGCATCTGTTGTGCTGTCTCCCCTTAGAAACGGATGTCAGTTACTGAAGGGGGTATCAAGTACCCGGAAACAACTGAAGGAGGACGTCCTAAACTTGGTGGCCTTATGGATCCAAGACAAGGGGTCATAGAGCGCAGTGGAAGATGTCAGACATGTGCAGGTACATTGATTTATTAGCATTTTAAGCCAATATTATTTCACCAAGGGGGACCCTGTCTTCATGATTTTCTTTTCTACATTTTGTTTCTTTTACCAGGCAACATGACAGAATGCCCAGGCCACTTTGGCCACATAGAACTGGCAAAGCCAGTCTTCCACGTCGGCTTCATTACAAAAATAATGAAGGTTCTTCGATGCGTCTGCTTTTTCTGCTCCAAGTTATTAGTGGATTCGGTAAGTGTGTTGTAGTTTTGGTGTTACTGATGAGGGCTGATGTAAATTATGTGTAATTTGCTACGTGTGATGTTCATTGCTCCCATCACTGTGTACACAGAACAATCCCAAGATTAAGGACATCCTAGTTAAATCTAAAGGGCAGCCGAGGAAGCGTCTAACCCATGTGTATGAGCTGTGCAAAGGCAAAAATATCTGTGAAGGAGGGGAGGAGATGGACAACAAATTTGGCATGGAGCAGCAAGAGACAGAGGAGGATATCACCAAAGAAAAGGTACGGCTAACAGACATTTCAGCCGTCAGGAATCCCTTCATGCCCCAACTTACTTTTTCACTCATCTGGTATCTTAAACGTTCAGGGCCATGGTGGCTGTGGGCGCTACCAGCCACGCATCCGGCGCTCGGGCCTGGAGCTTTATGCCGAGTGGAAGCACGTCAATGAAGATTCCCAGGAGAAGAAAATCTTGCTGAGCCCCGAGCGCGTGCATGAGATCTTCAAGCGCATCTCAGACGAGGAAGACGTAATCTTGGGTATGGACCCCAAGTTCTCCCGACCAGAGTGGATGATTGTTACCGTGTTGCCTGTCCCCCCACTGGCCGTGAGGCCGGCTGTAGTCATGCAGGGCTCTGCTCGCAACCAGGTAAAGGAAACTCATCCCCGACTTAATCTGCCGTTCTGATGTCTTGTATTATTTCTATAATTGAGCAAAAAAATCAAAACGTACACATCTGACCATTTATGAATTGACTTCCTGTTTAAAAGGACGACTTGACCCACAAGTTGGCCGACATTGTCAAGATCAACAACCAGCTGAGAAGAAACGAGCAGAGTGGCGCGGCCGCACACGTCATAGCTGAGGATGTGAAGCTGCTTCAGTTCCACGTGGCCACCATGGTTGACAATGAGTTGCCAGGCCTGCCAAGGGTAAGCAGATTTATCGGCGCTCTTGGATTACTACATGCACTATCACTACATGCTCGCTTCTAACAAATCTTTTTTTATCCTGCAGGCCATGCAAAAGTCTGGTCGTCCTCTCAAATCCATCAAGCAGCGACTAAAGGGGAAAGAGGGGCGAGTAAGGGGTAACCTTATGGGCAAGCGCGTGGACTTCTCAGCCCGAACCGTCATCACCCCAGACCCCAACCTCCAAATCGACCAAGTTGGTGTGCCACGATCCATCGCAGCCAACATGACTTTCCCAGAAATTGTTACACCCTTTAACATCGACAGGTATGTCGGAGTAGTTGTCAGTTTAAGTACAGCGTGTTTAAAAAAAAAAAACATACCCTTTCCCAGAGCTTATAAATACAAGGATAATGTTTTCTAACTAATGTGATCTGATTGATTGTGATGACATTTATTAGGTTGCAAGAGCTGGTGCGAAGAGGCAACAGTCAGTATCCTGGAGCCAAGTACATCATCCGTGACAACGGGGATCGAATTGACCTGCGATTCCACCCGAAACCAAGTGACCTTCATCTGCAGATTGGCTACAAGGCAAGAAGGAAAAGAAATGATAAAAAAATGACACGAAACAAACACATGGAGTGACATCCTTTCACAAGCAACAAAGAAAAACAACTACTTAATCATCATTCTAAAACACTATTTTCCTTCTAACTTCTGATTATTTTCATTTCAGGTGGAAAGACACATGTGCGATGGTGACATTGTCATCTTCAACCGTCAGCCTACGCTCCATAAAATGTCTATGATGGGGCACAGGGTTCGGATTCTGCCTTGGTCCACCTTTCGACTCAACCTCAGGTACCAGATCCTTAACTGCTTTTCCAAAGCTTAAATAAAGGCTCTTAATTTACATCTGGATTTAATTTTCACGTCTTTATTTAGAATTTGAAATTTCAAGTATCGATGCTAACCCAAGTGCCCCTCTAACCTCTTCTCAGTGTCACCACCCCATACAATGCTGACTTTGACGGGGATGAGATGAACCTCCACCTGCCCCAGTCCCTCGAGACGAGGGCAGAGATTCAGGAGCTGGCCATGGTGCCACGTATGATTGTCACGCCCCAGTCCAATCGGCCAGTTATGGGCATCGTGCAGGACACTCTCACGGCTGTTCGCAAATTCACCAAACGAGACGTCTTCTTAGAGAGGGTAAGGAGATCGCTGCAGAAGGAGCTTTTTCTTTCCTGTAAGGCACTTAAATTGACGTTTTTTATGCGTTTCAGGGGGAAGTGATGAACCTCCTGATGTTCCTCTCCACCTGGGACGGCAAAATGCCTCAGCCCGCCATCCTCAAACCTCGTCCACTGTGGACGGGAAAGCAGGTTTTCAGCCTTATCATTCCAGGACACATCAATGTCATTCGAACGCACAGCACCCACCCAGACGATGAAGACAGCGGGCCCTACAAGCACATTTCTCCCGGTGACACCAAGGTACAAAACAGAGTTTTATTTGTAATGGAAATTTACGGGCGCCGATTACAGGGCACTCGACCATAAAATACGCTCGGTCTCATAGGTCATCGTGGAGAACGGGGAGCTGATCATGGGCATCCTGTGTAAGAAGTCTCTGGGGACTTCTGCTGGCTCTCTCGTCCACATTTCCTACCTGGAGATGGGCCATGACATCACCAGGCTCTTCTACTCTAACATTCAGACGGTGGTCAACAACTGGCTACTCATTGAGGGTAAAAACTCTCACATTGACGTGACTTATTGGCCTCTTTTTTATGTAGAACTTTCAGCGTTTTTTTGATAAATTTTTTTAAACTCCTGTTTTTTAACTCCATAGGTCACTCAATTGGTATTGGTGACTCCATTGCTGATGCCAAGACGTACCTTGACATCCAGAATACCATCAAGAAAGCCAAGCAGGATGTGATAGAAGTAATGACACTATTTTAGTTGGTCACCAATTCCTCTGAAGCACCATTTCTAAACTGTTTGGAGAAGATGTTTGTCACCATAGTAATTTTTTGCTGTTTTAATATTTGCAAGGTCATCGAGAAAGCTCATAACAACGAGCTGGAGCCAACCCCCGGCAACACGCTGAGGCAAACCTTTGAGAACCAGGTCAACCGTATCCTCAACGACGCTCGTGACAAAACCGGATCCTCTGCCCAGAAATCTCTGTCTGAGTACAACAACTTCAAGTCCATGGTGGTGGCTGGCTCTAAAGGGTCAAAGATCAACATCTCACAGGTGAGCAACCCACCCAACCGTCAACACAGAAGGTCAGTAAAGTTTGAACGGAACTCACGAGGTGCCTGAACTCCATCTCCAGGTTATTGCGGTGGTGGGGCAGCAGAACGTGGAGGGTAAACGAATCCCGTTTGGCTTCAAGCACCGAACTCTGCCCCACTTCATCAAAGACGACTATGGTCCAGAGAGCAGAGGCTTTGTGGAGAACTCCTACCTGGCTGGTCTGACTCCAACCGAGTTCTTTTTCCACGCCATGGGAGGCAGAGAGGGTCTGATCGACACAGCTGTAAAGACAGCTGAGACGGGTATGTTGCTGGCCGTAGCAACAGGGTTGAAGAGGGCAGGGGGAGAATGTTAACGTAAAGCAAACCGGCATCTCCTTATTCCCAGTTACAGTTTAAGAAATCTCCTTCCCAGGTTACATCCAGCGTCGTCTGATCAAATCTATGGAGTCTGTGATGGTGAAGTACGACGCCACCGTGCGGAACTCCATCAACCAGGTGGTCCAGCTGCGCTACGGCGAGGACGGCCTGGCGGGAGAAAATGTGGAGTTCCAGAATCTAGCGACGTTGAAACCCTCACACAAAGCCTTTGAGAAGAAGTAAGTCGCACACCATCAGGGACTGTAGTGTTTTTAGCCTTGCAACCTCCATTGATTCCAATTTTTTCCCCTCTAGGTTCAAGTTCGATTGCACCAATGAGCGCGCGCTGAGGCGAGTGCTGCAGGAAGACGTGGTGAAAGACGTGCAGACCAACGCGCACGTGCAAGGTGTTCTGGAGCGGGAGTTTGAGAAGATGAAAGAGGATCGGGAGATCCTGCGTGCGATTTTCCCCACCGGGGACAGCAAGGTCTGCGCCGTCCGCCGGCCGTTCTCCAGTCGGGTCTCATCTTTAGGGTCCAGACGGCGACTCTCATGCTGCTCTGCCCCCCTCTTCCCCGCAGGTGGTGCTGCCATGCAACCTCGCAAGAATGATCTGGAACGCGCAGAAGATCTTCCGAATCAACACTCGAACCCCCACTGACCTGAATCCTTTAAAGGTGGTCGAAGGTAAGGTCCGAAGTAAAAACCGGAACTCTTCCGTAAGCTAGCGTTGAGCCACAAACTCGCTGGGCCTGTTTCCTGGACTCCGTCGCTGGTTGTAAGGGAAAGGTCAGGATCTGACCCCGGGTGCTATGTAAAGCTGCCTAATGACTCCAAGCTGTAACATGGCTAGAGCAACAAATCAGTCTGAGTGGGTTTTTTGCTAGAGACAGATTATCACTCGGAGCGATGGCGGGGAGGTGGGGATTACCTATGCCCGTAAATGTGTGTGTCAGCGCCCATGTTTTACCCCCCCTCAGGCGTTCACGAGCTGAGTAAGAAGCTGGTGATCGTGAACGGCGACGACCCTCTGAGCAGGCAGGCCCAGCAGAACGCCACGCTGCTCTTCAACATCCACCTGCGCTCCACGCTCTGCTCCAAACGCATGACCGAGGAGTTCCGCCTCTCCACCGAAGCCTTCGAGTGGCTGCTGGGGGAGATCGAAACCAAGTTCAACCAGTCCATCGTACGTTTGATAGACGGGCTTTGGAGCCGTCTGATCTCTTTCGTATTTACACTCTCAGCCATAAGCCTTTTTTTCTTTGGAATTGAAACAAAACCGCATGGCTCCTCCTCCAGGCTCACCCGGGCGAAATGGTGGGCGCTCTGGCCGCCCAGTCGCTGGGAGAGCCCGCCACCCAGATGACACTGAACACCTTCCACTACGCCGGCGTGTCAGCCAAGAACGTCACGCTGGGCGTGCCTCGTCTAAAAGAGTTGATCAACATCTCCAAGCGGCCCAAGACGCCCTCGCTGACCGTCTTCCTGCTGGGTCAGGCGGCACGCGACGCCGAGAGGGCCAAAGACATCCTCTGCCGGCTGGAGCACACCACGCTGCGCAAAGTAGGCCGTCGCCAGCTTGAGCTCAGAGCGTTTTTAGGGTAGGAACCTGCAGACTGACCGCTGGGCCCTCTTCCCCCCCAGGTCACGGCGAACACCGCCATCTACTACGACCCCAACCCGCAGAACACGGTGGTGGCCGAGGACCAGGAGTGGGTGAACGTCTACTACGAGATGCCCGACTTCGACGTGACGCGCATCTCCCCGTGGCTGCTGCGCATCGAGCTGGACCGCAAGCACATGACCGACCGCAAGCTGACCATGGAGCAGATCGCAGAGAAGATCAACGCGGGCTTCGGAGACGACCTGAACTGCATCTTCAACGACGACAACGCCGAGAAGCTGGTGCTGCGAATCCGGATCATGAACAGCGACGAGAACAAGTTCCAAGAGGTGGGTGTTGGCGGGCAGTTCCCGGCGGGGGTTGTCCGTGTCCGGTCTCAGGGAAACAGTTTTGTAAGAAACCAGTTTGCATGTCCAGGACGAGGAGGTGGTGGACAAGATGGACGACGACGTCTTCCTGAGGTGCATCGAGTCCAACATGCTCACGGACATGACTCTTCAGGGCATCGAGCAGATCAGCAAGGTCAGACCAAAGTTCCACATTGGTGCTACTTAAAATCGGCTGACGAGGCTCCGAATTGACCGGGACACCGTTTCCCCCCTCAGGTCTACATGCATTTGCCTCAAACTGACAACAAGAAGAAGATCATTATCACCGAGGACGGCGAGTTCAAGGCCCTGCAGGAGTGGATCCTGGAGACGGACGGAGTGAGCCTCATGAGGGTGCTCAGCGAGAAGGACGTGGACCCCGTCAGGACCACCTCCAACGACATCGTGGAAATCTTCACGGTACGAAAAGCATCGACTCGCCTCCACAGAAACCCGCGATTTCTCCGTCCTCCGTCCGCCGCGTTTTTAACGATAAACTGCTGCTCTGTGTCGAAGGTTCTGGGGATTGAAGCCGTGCGAAAGGCCCTGGAGAGAGAGCTGTACCACGTCATCTCCTTCGACGGGTCCTACGTCAACTACCGCCACTTGGCCCTTCTGTGCGACACCATGACCTGCCGCGGCCACCTGATGGCCATCACGAGGCACGGCATCAACCGGCAGGACACGGGGCCGCTCATGAAGTGTTCCTTTGAAGAGACGGTACGAGGAGTTCTTCCTCCCAGGAAAACCTTCAGATGTTTTCTCGTTTTCTTTCTTCAATTCCCGTTGGTTTTCCGTGTCCTGCCCCCTCCAGGTGGACGTGCTGATGGAGGCGTCGTCGCACGGCGAGAGCGACCCGATGAAGGGCGTGTCGGAGAACATCATGCTGGGCCAGCTCGCCCCGGCGGGGACGGGCTGCTTCGACCTGCTGCTGGACGCAGAGAAGTGCAAATACGGCATGGAGATCCCCACCAACATCCCCGGCATCAGCGTGGCTGGACGTGAGTGGAGACGCCTTCGTTTCGCGCCGCGACACTCGCATCCGATCAAAGTTAACGTGATTCGGATACGACTGAGGGAGCATTGCATTTACAGCCAGCTCTCTGTTTTCAGCCACGGGGATGTTCTTCGGTTCTGTGCCGAGTCCGATGAGCGGGATGTCCCCCGCCATGACCCCCTGGAACACGGGCGCCACCCCTGCCTACGGCGCCTGGTCTCCGAGTGTCGGTGAGCACAAACCCCCCCCCCACGCCCTCTTGGTTTACGGCTTTTCTTCTTAGTTTCCAGTGCCTGACATCTGCCTCCCTTCCCTTGCTCCCACAGGAAGCGGCATGACCCCGGGAGCAGCGGGTTTCTCTCCCAGCGCCGCGTCGGACGCCAGCGGCTTCTCTCCTGGGTACTCCCCGGCCTGGTCTCCCACTCCCGGGTCGCCCGGGTCTCCAGGACCTCTCAGCCCGTACATCCCCTCCCCAGGTCAGACAGCAGAAATATCCTTCTTCACTAAGTTAATCAGAAACTTTTTCTTTTGTAGTCAGTCCGCAGAAAGGTGCTGAATCAGCTTTGTGTGGAAACGTGGTTTCAGGAAAACAATTCTTTTGTCTCACTGTCCTTTTTTTTTTGTTCTTTCTTCTTCAGGTGGAGCCATGTCACCAAACTACTCCCCCACCTCCCCTGCGTACGAGCCCCGTTCCCCCGGAGGCTACACCCCTCAGAGTCCGGGGTACTCCCCCACGTCCCCCTCCTACTCCCCCACCTCTCCCTCTTACTCTCCCACCAGCCCCAACTACAGCCCCACATCTCCTTCCTACTCGCCCACCTCTCCCAGTTACTCCCCAACCTCTCCTTCCTATTCTCCCACTTCTCCCTCTTACTCGCCCACGTCTCCCTCTTACTCCCCCACCTCCCCGTCCTACTCCCCCACGTCTCCCTCTTACTCTCCCACCTCCCCGAGCTACAGCCCCACGTCGCCCAGCTACAGCCCGACATCGCCCAGCTACTCGCCCACCTCCCCCTCCTACTCGCCCACCTCGCCGTCTTACTCCCCCACGTCTCCTTCCTACTCCCCCACCTCCCCCTCGTACTCCCCCACCTCTCCCTCCTACTCGCCGACCAGCCCGAGCTACAGCCCCACATCACCAAACTACACCCCCACCTCCCCCAGTTACTCCCCGACCTCGCCCTCCTACTCCCCAACATCGCCCTCTTACTCCCCAACTTCCCCCAACTACACACCCACCAGCCCCAACTACTCCCCCACCTCCCCCTCGTACTCCCCCACCTCTCCGTCCTACTCCCCGTCCAGTCCGCGCTACACCCCCCAGTCGCCCACCTACACGCCCAGCTCGCCGTCATACAGCCCCAGCTCGCCCTCTTACTCCCCCACCTCGCCCAAATACACCCCGACGTCTCCCTCCTACAGCCCCAGCTCTCCAGAGTACACCCCCACCTCCCCCAAGTACTCCCCCACCTCGCCGAAGTACTCCCCAACGTCGCCAAAGTACTCGCCCACTTCTCCCACCTACTCCCCGACGACCCCCAAATACAGCCCCACCTCTCCCACCTACTCCCCCACGTCCCCCACCTACACCCCCACCAGTCCCAAATACTCTCCCACCTCCCCCACCTACTCCCCCACCTCGCCCAAGTACTCCCCCACCTCTCCCACCTACTCGCCCACTAGTCCCAAAGGCTCCACCTACAGCCCCACCTCGCCCGGGTACAGCCCCACTTCGCCCACCTACAGTCCGGCCATCAGCCCCGACGACAGCGACGAGGAGAACAACTGACGGGCGGCGGCGGACGAGGCGGGGGGGCAGCTGAGGCCGCCTCGTGGTGACCACACCTGAAGGACGGCGCCTTTAACGGGGCGGAGGCGGCGCCACAGGAACCCCCCGGCTGTTCTCCACATCTGACCTCGCAGTCCGGGGGCCTGGGCCTCAGCCCGCCCCCCCCCCCCACCACCCGTACACCCACTCAGAAATGTTAAAACCTTACATGTGAAAGACTTGAACAGCTTTGCCTGAAGGAAAAGAAAAAAAAAAAAAAGGTTGCCTTTTGAAATAGTTTTTTTTGTTTCGTTGTTAGTTTTAATACGGGGCGTCGAAGTAAAACTGAGAATCCTCAGAGGAAATGAAAAGGAGAGGAAGATGTGAGCATTTAAGGGGGTGGAGAATTCCCTTTTTTTAAACTTTAGCGTCCTGCACCCAGTCTCTCTCTCTCGTCGTTTCAGTGTTGGTCGTGTACCTGTTGGACAGAGCGTGTGGCGAAAAGGCTCTCTGAGACCCGGTCGGTATTTTGTGTCCATCGCTAAAGCGGAAGCTGTAAAAGACCGTGAGGGCTAGCCATTGCGTACCCCCGTATTCCACCAAGCTGTTCCTCGTTACACCTCCGGCAGCTTCTCATAAACAGCGGATTTGGGGAATATTTCCAGAGGAGACGTTTGGGATCGTGAGCGGAGAGAGAAACTGGTTTGCAGAGAGGACGATGCAGTCTGAACAAACTACATAGATCTATGTACCCTGCTCCCGCCCCCCCCCCCCTCTTGCCCCTTCGCGCCCCAAAAACCTGAAAGATGTCATGAAAGCACCCACCAGCATCCTGCTCACCAGTTTGGAGACTTTGTCCATCAAAAGCAGAAAAAAAACAAAACACTTTTTTTCAACTAATAATTTTCCCTTTACACTGGGAATGGAGATTTCTATTGATTAAAAGTCAGAATTATTATTGTCTGAATTTGAATGTGGGAGGCACACATGGACGAGGGATACTAGTTTGATGTTGCTGCTTTTGTTATTGTTTGCATCTTTTGCATAAGTAGCAGATGTTCTTACATTTTGATTATCCCTCCCGCGTTCTGCTAATCTTTGTCTCATTTCTGATAGCCGAGGTGTGCACAGGTATATTTGGACTATTCAGTTTATTTAAGGAAGTTAACTGCTATTCTGTATGGATAAGAATAGAGAAAATTAAGAATTTAATTTTGATTTTTCTCTCGTTTGCTTTCGGTGACTTTGTAGACCTGTTTGCAGGAGTCTCATATTCATATTCTGTGGATGAAGAGGCGGGACGCCCACTCAGACCCTTTTGCCACCACGGCAGCTGCTCGTTTTTACCTCCAGATGTTAAACTTTGTGCTTGCTTTCACTTCAAAGGTAGAAGAGCAAAAGGCTCAATGTTAAGTTTGGCCTTTGTCCCTTTTTTGGGGGGATGACAGAGGGAAACATTTCTCTTGTTGGTCTTTCCAACAAAGCGCTGTTTTCTGCTTTTTTTTATTTCTTTTCTAGATCAGAAATCATCCAAAGCAGCAGCACTTTTTTGCCTTTTTCACTACATTGCGTCATCCTCAACCTTATTCTTAGAAGTCCCGACCAACAGGGAGCCGTTTGTGTGCCTGATGGAAATTGAAACGTTTGTGTCCCCGTGGTTCCATTTGAGCTCTCGACAGGGTTTCCAGGTGTTTCGGACTTGCCGGGTCTCCCCCCTCTTCATCCACGAGTTGATCTCATGTCTAAAATCAGTGTTTCCATGTATTTTTCTACACGTGTATGTACCTGTGCTGAGGGGAATCATGGGGAGGGGGGGCGTATTAGCTCTGACTGGGAGTCCTTGGGGGTTGAAAGGCATCCAGTAATATTTTTAGGTTAAGTTCTGACAAAAAAAAAAAGATCTTAAATTTCTGATTACCTTTTTTTTTTTTTTCTATTTGTGGAAAAGCTGCCTAATTTTTTTTAGTCTTGAATTGAAAGAACAGCATCCGCTGGCCTTTTGACAGTAAGCAGGATGGGGAATGGCTTGTACTGTGGACGTTAGACGGACATCATTGCATTTTGTCGAGTTTTTTGAGTCCATCCTGGTTGTCTTAACTGTGTGCCGCTCTGTCAGTTCAAGACTTCAGGACTCCCAGGGAAAAAGGAATGTCTGGACGCGAGTGTGTGTGTGTGCATGAGAGAGAGAGAGAGAGTTTAGTATGTCTGAAGGCCATGCAGGAAAGATTTCACACGTCTGGGGAAAAGAAAGGTTTAACTTAAAGTTGCCACTGTATAGAAATCAAGTCATTATCTCCTATGTATCTTTGTTCTGTTTGTTTTTTGACTTGAAAAACCGAATAAAAGTTTTACTATAAGTCTCTTTGTGTTTTTATTCCAGGTAAAAGTTGTTTTTAAGGAATTTGTTGAGGAAATGAACACCAGTTGTGTATTTTGTGATAATGTATTTTCAAAATGTTTGATTAAAGATGAACAACTCCCCTCTTACATGATGCTTAGGGGGAAAAAAAGCCCATAATGGTTCCAGATAGATTTTATGCCTTTCAAACATGTCGGTAAAACCGGCATTAGGATCAACTTTCCTCCAAGGGGCGCTCTAAATCCACCAGTCTGTTCAGAGCAGGTTAAGGCCTCATACACATGGAAGCTTTGTTTTCTGGGCACTTTCAGGTCAGTTTAGACAATTTTGAGCTGCAATCACCTCGCAGGCTGAACACAGTCGCAAAATGTTTTGGCTCCAGTCAAAGTGGGATGTGTGAAAAGTTTTCATGAAGTTTTACAATGAATCAATAGTGCGCTTTAGGTTTTGTGTCAGGTGATAATGACAAGGTGTTCACTCAGAAACGAGACTGAATCAAACTACACAAACAGTAGTGGCAAAAGGACAAAGAAAATATGTGAAATTCTGAAATAATGGGATTCGGCCACAGACAGAAAAATAGAAAAGTCTGCTTCTTATCTTTCTCATCTTTCTTTTTTTCACCGTAAATAAAGTTAAAGATATGATATAAAATAGTCGTCGCTGAAAACAAAGCTTTTCAACGGAAGCTGGTATGTGTGAAAACCTTCTCAGCTGAAATTTCTTTGACAGTTTTGTAAAGGCATGAAATTTGAGCCTGTTAGTGAGTTGTCATGCTGATGTGTGACGGAGAAATATAATTAAACATGACTCAGTGAAACATGACATCCACAGGAGATGACAGTGATTCATTACTTTAGTGCTTTATGAAACACAAATTTACTCTGAACCTGAAAAAGACAGTTTTGTCACTGGAATTAGCGCTTAGTATTTGGTAATAAACACCAACAGTAGTAAAGAAGTTACCCCGTGCTGTTGTCCCTCTTTCACACTTCACCAACACGCACTATGTGATAAATTTACGGGTGTGACTGTTAAAACTTGAGCCAAAATATTGCAAACAAGCGTCAATCTATTTTCAATACCACCGCAGTTAAAACATACAGAGAATACTTAACCCTTGAACATCAACACTTAGAAAAATGGATAGCAAAATATTTTTTTGGAGCAACAACCAGAATCAGTGCTTTTTTTCAGAGATGTTAGGTGACACTTTATGGTAAAAGTTTGAAATCTTCAAAAGGAAATGTCACAGCTCATAGCTTACTTTAGGCACCACATACCCAAACTTAATTTTAGAGATAGTTTAGGTTGATGCACTTCCTCTCTATCCTATAATTAGTGCTCTATCAAATGGCTGAGCATTGTGGTAAATGGTTGAATGACCCACTTCTTACTGCAGTATACTTTTGAGTTTAGTTACATTCAGTTTTTCATTTGCATCAAAACAAGTTGAAATGAAATTATTCTAATGAAGAGGCTAGGATTTATGTGACATTTCCAAGTGTTTGTAATATCAAGAAGCAAGATCCAAAACTATCAGTGGACCAAACGCCAGAGATCTCTGTCCAGAGGACACGTTCAGAGAAACAACTAATAACCAAAAACTCAAAAGAAACAAAAAAACACAGATTAATCCAAACTTTCCAAATTACAGTTCACAAACAGCATCTCAGAATTTAAACGCTAATGTCAGTATAGGTAGGATTCTTTCTGCCCGTGGGCTGGTCTCATGTAAATCTCGTCTCATGGGTTTCTGATAACACGTCTGGACAGATGATGATACAGGCTGCTGTTGTCTGAGCAGGTCTTGGTTTAAAGGTTGATCCACGGCTTTGCGTCTCTCCTGAAACTGTGCAAGAGGGCGACTCACATGATCTGGTGTAACTCATGATGGGTGTGTCCTCACAGGGGGGGACACACCAGGGTTAATGCTGTGTTTGGGCTCGTTTCCATGGTGATGTTTACCCAGTGACTGTGGAGTGGTTGAGTTTATCCATTTAGAGGAAAAACGCCCAATTCTTTACACCCTTTGCACATAGTCACCCTTTTAAAAAATAGTAAATGAATAAAATTGCATCTCCAAATCATCACAATGCGCAAAAGTGAGTAAATCTGAATGGACAAAGTGCTGCTCTAAAATCAGATCCACCAAAGCGGATCTGCCCCTTGAATGTTTCCTTCACTTGTGGCCCCGGTTCAGCGTTGTTTCCGTTGTGTTGTCTGCTTCTGAGTCAGGGGGCGGGCTGAGACTGCCGCAGGCCCGAGCAGAGGCAGGAAATCTGTGTGTGTGCCTGTGGAAGAATTTGTGTGTTTAGGGACTGGTTTGTGCCCGGATCACCGCTTTCCTCTCCAGTCTCTTGCTCAGACGCGCTTCGAACCGCCACTCACGTCCACAAGTAAGTCTGAACATGACTCTGGTCTCTGTTTTTGGTGTCTGATCCCACAGATTTTTCTTACTTTGTCTTTTAACTTCCACCCCCCCTTCTTCTTTGGCATTTTTTTCCCCTGCCCACTTCTCACATTCCATCTCCTGAAAGCATCTGAGGATTTTTTAGTTTCGAATCTCACTCTTTATATCCTGTGACACTACCCTGTTCAGTGTACGGAAAACCCGACCTCTCCTCCCCGGCCTCTTTTGCTACACCTCACTGTGTTCGCAGTTGCTTCACAACTTCCCTAAAGGTCCAAACCAGCCAAACCAGCTTCACACTTAAAGGCAGAGTTCATGATTCTGGAGGCTGCTTTAACAGCTCAGAGCAGGAATCACCTTCTCTTCTGAGAACCGTGTTTCTACATGAACAGGACGTTTCCTGTGTAGTTTGCACCAGATCTTTCTCGATCTTCTCGGTTTCTCTCTGTTTGCATCATTTTGTTGTGTCTCAGTCTCCTTATCGCAGTCTCTCTGTGTCCGAGCTCCCGCATTTTGTCAGCTCTCAAATTTCTCTGCTCAACAACACATGACAGACTGATTGGTCCCGTGACCCCGGCGGCCTATCTGTGCCCCCGTCTCTCCACCTGAACTCCCTGTTTCCCCCTCTGCCTGCTTTCTTCTCCACCCAACCAGACACCGCTGCACGCTCCAGCAGACCAGTTCAAGAGGGCATCTTTTTATCTCCTGACCTCTCGGGCGGCTTTGTTTTCCCTTTTAGCGGGCATTGTCAAAACTCAGATTAAGACTCATTGTTATACTTGTTTAGATTGCCGGATTGAATTATTCATATGAACGAGAACACTGATTAAATTACTCTTTGGACAAGCCAGGAAAAAAAGAGGCTGAGTGGGATAGTTTTAAATGTAAATGTGCTCAGAACAGATGAGAAAGAGGGGATCTCAAGCATCAAGCCGTTGGTCTCGGTCAAAGTGAAACAATGGGAATAGCATTCGTTGCCTCAATGTTTCAACACACACGATAGCTCGGGTCACTTCCTGAGTTTTATGTGGTGAATCATGGGTCTAAAGGCACCCTCCAAACACAACTGTGCTCACAACAACTCGAATATGACGCAGCAACTGACTGACAAGAGGAGACATTCATTGGTTTCCCAGTTGGTAAGCAGTCAGTTAGCCTAAAACACAAAGATGCTCCATCTTATGGCGGATGCTCGTGCCGTCCAATCATGTTCTTCGTGTTACAGGCTTGTCCCCTGAGAGGCACTTAGTGCTGAGGATCAATGCAAAATCCTTTCCATTTGGCTCATTTTAGCAGAAGACCACAGTTTTAGTCTTATAATTGCATAAAGAGAAATAACTCATTACCTTTTTCAGTTGGTTTTGGTCTCTAAAGAGTTCTTGGTCTCTGTAAGTTGTTTCAAGTCATCTTTAGTACAACCTGATGTTCAAGATGTTGATTGTGAGCCCATTTGTTGTTGAATGAAGGAGCCATGTCTGTTTCGGTGCTAGTATTTAGTGCTGCATAGCATGTGTCAGGCTAGATTTTGCACGATAAGAAACTGCGTTTGCCATTTTTGGCATTTACGTGGTGCTAACTCCCTTCTGTGGGCCCTTCCATGTCCCACAGCCACAGAGGTCAGCGGCCCCGAGCTGAGGAGCTTTAGTGTTCTGCAGCTGTGAGCTTTTAGGAATCAGTCTTTTTCTACTGATTCTACCCCATATTTAGCGGGCATGTTATTTCTGTATTGAGGGATCGATGTTAAGAAAGATGTCAGGAAGTATTATCCCAGAGTTTAGCTTTAGCGAGGAACCAGGAACCCGACTCTACCCCCTCTACACGCCGCCCTATCCACAGGCCACAGGTAGGCTTTCATCACTCCCGGCTCCAGTTTCCTCCCACATATAAGCTAACCGGGCTAGGTGAACTCAAACACTTCTCCACGGCAGGCCTCTCAATACCTAACAACCTCACACGCACACACTTCACTGGACACGCAGAATGGAGTCGGAGTCAGACAGCATGCCGGAGGTACCAGAGGAGATCATACAGTTAAGTGGACCGGGGACTTTTTGTCTGTACTCTGTCCAAGGCTGTCCAAGCATTGTAACTTTAACCCAGGGGCCCCTGCATGTGCCGCTCCGGGCCTCTTTCTGTTTCCATGCTCTTATCACTCCCTTCCTCATCTCTTCTGACATATTGCATGGGTTCATACAATGCTCCGGCCTAAGTCTCACATCTGTTTCCATCGTGATCTGTTGGCTAAACAACTCAAGGTGGAGCTGTTCGCATTTGCTTCCTGTTTATTTGGACACAAAGCTGCTTGTTAGTGTTAATGCTCTGAGCTTTTTTTGCCTCTATTTTTTTTCTAGTTGCCATTATCAAGCTAAGAAGTTTTATAGGTAATGCCTGGCGCCTGCAAGCAAAACTGAAACATAAAATCCCGGCTTGTAAAATATAGGCTATTAAATGACCGCTCCGCCTAAACTGCTGTCAAAACTAATCATAAAAGCATCGTAGTCTTCATGAATTTGCTGGGCTCCTCTTATCTAGACAGGAAACCTAAGCTCAACCTCACGGTCTTCTTCAGGGGATACAGATTTTTTGTTTAATCGCCTGAGCAGAGAGACCTCAGCCCAAATGCTGAACCGGGCCATCTCTCCTTATTACTTTCTAAATAAAAACATAAGATATTTCCAAATGATCAAAAATAATGTATTTTTTGTATTTTATTAGTCCCAACGATCTGCTGCAGATTCAGGCATCTCTGCATCTGATTGAAAGTTTATTGAGCTGCACAATTAACTCAAATAGAGATGATTATGAAGAGTTAGGCATCCCCAGAGCAAAGAGACCTACATTTTGGTTGATGCAATTCCAATGATGGGGCAGAAGCAAATAAATAATGACTTTGGATCCAAGTAGGGCAAGTTTAACTGCCCACAACAACAACTCTAATGGCCTTAGAAGGGCATTGAGATAAAAAGTATATTATGTGGGATAAGACAGAAAAGTAATCTAAAGGGAAGAGAAGGTCAAACGAGTGTGTTGAAATTTTCAACTTTTCTTTAAAGGTGTCCAGAGTTGGGGCGCATTTGAGATTATTTATAGGACACTTATTCCTGCTCTGTAAAGCACAGCAGCTAAATGCGTTTTCGCCCTATTCGGTCCTAAATTGAGGTTCTACGAGCTGACTGAAGACGACTTGAGCAAACAGCATACAGGGAAGATTCAGGGTTTTATAGTTTGCAATAAACCTCGGTAGTTCATGGTTTACTTAATCTGAAAGCTGTGCAAACAGCTCTTCAATCCAATAAAGATGTAACAGTCACAGTGACAGGCCTTTCCTTGGAAAAAATTCAACTGTTCATTTTGATTGTGAAGAGGAAAAAAGGCAGGGTTGCAAATATAGATAGCCATCAGACACAGAAAAAACAGTGAATCATGAATCCAAATTGAAAGGCCATTTGAAAGGCCTGGAAATGGTTATAGATGGAAGACTCTGAAAAGTTGTTTAATGTGAGAGCTGCCTCCCTTTACCGGGCAATCAGACTTTCATCTATGAGCTGCGTCAGAGGGGCAAATGTTGTCAGGAGGAAAAGATTCAGGCTTTTCTCTCCACTTGTTTTTTCATATTTTCTCAAACTTGTTTATATCTATGCTATTATTAATGAAAAACACAGTTCATGATGTTCCACATGCTGCTGTGCAGTGAGGAAACTGAAGTGAGGGGCACTTATAGGCGAAGAAGGGTAGGCCTGTTGCACACAGGAAGAGGCAGGTTTGTGGTTGATTGACACACTTTAAAAAATAACCCAACCTCAGTCTGACGTCTTTAGATAAGCGGTGTTTTTGCCTGAAGGATCTTTGTCTCATCCGTGAGTCGACGCAACCTGCACGCGACCACGCCTGCTTTTTGTGTGCGCTGCGTAATGTGTAACGTGGTTTTGTGTTGCCTTAAAAAGAGACACGGTAGTCATTAAGAGGTAACTCAACCTCTCATTTTGTGTAGTTGCGCGCATCAACCTTCAGATTGTGTTTTTGGGGGGTTTGGTTTCAGCCCCTATGGATGTTTACGTGTGCACGCTTATCAGTGGAGGAAGTCCAGATAGAATCATGGTCGACTCACTCTCATGAGAATCTTCACTTCCTTTTTTAGTTCTGTTAATTCCTATGAAAAATTGCCATCAGCTCATATCTGACAGCAGTAAGACAACATTGTGGACTTCCCGTCTGAGGCAACTTCTTCCCCTCTCGGGGGGGCCGACTTGTCTGTGACTCAGACATCATGAGTGTTTCCACGAGCTTAACTCCTCTCCCTCCCATTTGGCCTCAACAGTCCGCTGCTTGTCTTCTCCCCACGCAGAATGCTCCCGTTCAAGCCAGCGCCAGGCCAGTTCGGCCCCGAGATCCGGGCCCCGGGCCTGTGGGTGTGGAGGGTGGAGAAGATGAAGGCCGTCCTGCTGGACCCCTCCGAGGTGGGAGCCTTCTTCAACGGGGACTCCTACTTGGTGCTGGAGAACCGCGGCGAGGAGGGAGCCGACCTCCACATGTGGATAGGTGAGAGCCTGCAGGCGCATCTGGCTTTTGAGATTTGAAAAGACGGAGATTATTTGAGATTATTGACAGAATTTGCAGCAATTTGTCTCCAAGAATGTGAGAGTTTTGAGTTTGCTTCACTGTAACAGATGAATATCATGTTCCAAAATGAGAAAAACAGAGAAAAAAGTTACATACCAAACTTTTTTTTATCAGAAAAGGGACCACCTCAATTTTAGATGATAAGATGTTCTGATTAAACATAAGGCTGTCAGGGAGGTGGGTGTTGACGGGAGGACTCAGTCGCGGAATGAGGGGAACAAGGTTTATTGAACAAAAACAGGGTGAATGTCCAGACAAAGTACAAAACAAAGCTGTGGCAAACTGTGGGCAAAGTAACAAAGCAAGCAAACAAGACTGTGGAAAAACTATGACAAAGTAACAAAATAAAGATTAACAAGACTATGACAAAACGTGACTATGACTGTGGCTGTGGCAGAACTATAACGAAACAAACCTGGCGTGGGGGTGACGACGGACGAAAGGACAAGAGACAAGGCAAGAAGACAAGAACGACCCCGCACCAGACAAGGGGAAACGAGGACTATTTAAACACACGAGGAAGGGGAACCCCAGGTGCACACATTTGGTAATCAGGACATGACGAGACACCAGACGTGACAAAGGCGGAGTGACTTAAACCCTTTAAGCCTGAAGTCGGACGCCTCGCATTCTTCTATTTGACTTCATCTGACAAAAGTTGCACCGTGCCCGCCACTCTCCCTACTCTGGCCCAGCGTTGGGGCCGAGAAGCCAATAAGCCCGCCGGTGATCGTGATGACACATGAGACACGGCGCCGACCCCGGAGCTGCATTGTTTCGCGGAAAGAGGCTGTGCCAGGAAGAATGAGGGGATGATGAGAGGCGGAGAGGTCCCGAGGGGGAAGCGGGGATGGGTTCTGAGCAGGTCCCATTAAAAATGCAGCAGCGGCGTTACAGTACTCAAATGTGGCCCTTGTTTCCAGCATGTATCCGGTGCTTAGGTAACACTAAGCTGATTGTCAGGGCTCCGAGAGCGCGCTATTCGCTCAGGCGTGCAACTCTCCGAGCCCTCCTCCTCCTCGTGTTGGCACATGTTTAACCTGGAGGCTTCTTAGTCTCGGTGTCGAAGAAATCTGCGGGTCTTCCATGATATTTCTGTAATTCATCACGTTTAGGCCATTTTTAACATTTACCTTTTGTTGTTTTTGGGTATCTTAAATGTAAAGGGGGAAACACAATGATAAATCTTCACACAGCTGCTTTTTTAAAGACAGCTCCCCATCTTAATCCAGTTTAATATGTGAACGCAGAAACGATGCAGAGTTATTCCAGTTCAGAGAAACCAGATTTCACTATGGTCACCTACATTATGAGTCCAGCTTTGGCTTAAATAAAAAAAGCTTTTTTTCCAGGATAAAACTCTGCAGCACAGTTTTCAGACTGAATTTGACCTGGTAGTTGGAATTTCTTCAATCTTTCTTTTTTTTTTCCTGTCTCCGCTGAAGGTGAGAAGTCCTCTCGGGACGAGCAGGTGGCCTGTGCCATGCTGGCCACCCAGCTGGACAACTTCCTCGGAGGCGACCCCGTTCAGCACAGGCAGGTCCAGGGCTTCGAGACCCCGGAGTTCATGGAGCTCTTTCCCAGGGGGGTCAGCTACAAGGTGAGCAAAGAGGACAGGCCTGAATCTGAACGTTTGACGGCACAGAAAATCAAGTGATCAGGCAAAAAACGCCATTCACCAGCTGAGGTTAGAGCCAGCAAAGGTCCAAAATACCAGTCTAAGAAAAGGAAGAATCTATTGAATGTTGTCATGAATCCAGATCAGATGGTCAAAACAATTAGCAGGGAAAGAGGGTGTAAAATGTACTTGAAAGAAAAGCAGAATTGAAAGACAAAATCAAGTTAACTTCATGATTAATCTGCCACTAAAAACTGCTCCACAGGAACAGAATTTTATAGTTTAATGAGGTCTAATCAACCTTGCCTAAAAGTTCTTTGTATTTAAAACCGTTTACTTCCAGACTTGTATCCAGACTGTGTGAGTTTATTTCATTTAGTTGATTGGTTTAGGGCCAGTCGGCTACATCTGTGCTGAGTTATGACTTCTGTGGAAAAGTTGACTGTTGCATCACTTTTACAGTAACTTGTTCCTGAGTGAAAGTCCCGTTTCCCTCACAGGAAGGCGGCGTGGAGTCGGGCTTCAGGAGGCCTCAGGGTGGGGGGACGGTGCACAGGTTGTACCAGATCAAAGGGAAGAGAAACATTCGTGCCAGGGAGGTGGAGCTGTCCTGGAGCAGCTTCAACAAGGGGGACTGCTTCATACTGGACCTGGGAGAGGTGAGACAGAGCCTCGAAAAGAAACGGTTAACCGAACAGAGTGTTAGAACCCAAGCCCAACCTGCTTTTGGTGGCTGCAGACCATCGTGTCGTGGATCGGCTCTCAGGCCAACATCTTCGAGAAGCAGAAAGTGCGCGAGATCGCCTCCCTCATCAGAGACACAGACAGGCACGGGAAAGCACGCATCGTGGACACCAGCGAGGGGGAGGAGCCAGAGGAGATGCTGAAGGTAAAAAAGACCTTTTTTTAAACTGCTATCTCCCTTAATTATCAGTCAGATGGGGATGTCTGGGAAGAAATTAGACATTTTTACACATAAACCAATTCCTACTGATTTCTATGACTTTCTTACGATAAAAAAGTATCAAAATCCACGTTTTGTAACTTTTTCCTGTGTTTTCGGGCAGGTCCTGGGACAGATGCCAGCCCTGGCCGAGAGCACGCCAGAGGAGGACAGCAAAGCAGATGTTTCCAACTCGGCCTCCCTCTACAAGGTATTCATCTGGAGAGCCATCATCGCCGATCGCCGTCCCCGATAAAAGGAGTTCTGTCTTAAGTGGGACAAAAGCCAAACCCGGCTGTGTTCACCCCCTCAGGTGTCCGATGCAACAGGTTCCATGTCCATGACCAAGGTGTCGGAGAAGAGCCCGTTCGCCAAGGAGCTGCTGGTGCGAGACGACTGCTTCATTCTGGACAACGGCGCCAACGGAAAAATCTTCGTCTGGAAAGGTGAGGAAACGATCACCTGACCCCGGGCCGGCCGTCTTGCTTCTCCTGATAAGCATACAGACGAAAATGATAGGTCTTAGATGCCATGGACATTTGATATCTATCGAAATTAAATTTTAACGAAGGCGGCGGAAAAATGATGATCGACGCTCCGAGGTCGAGGCCTTTGGGTCTGTCGGCTGACACAGGAAAGTTTAAACATGAGGAAAAGCCGTGTTTTAACCCGCAAAACAGCTAAAATCCCAGACACCCGCTTCGTTTTCTGACTGATCATGTGATGTTTGTGGGGAACAACACAGAGGTGGGGGATCTTTGACTCAAACAAACAGAAGCTCTGCTCAGCAAAACAATGTGGAAGAAAGCAGGAAAACCCTCTGATCAGAATCTGTGATTAACCATCAGGAAACGGAGCGAACGCCGAGGAGAAGAGGGTGGCCCTGCAGATGGCCGACAGCTTCATCGAGCAAATGAAGTACCCCAGGATGAAAACTCAGGTGCTGCCTCTGAAACCTTGTCTCCCCACTCAGGAAAATCCCTGTTGCACCTCAGTAAACCGGAGTTGTGTTTTGTGCTGCAGGTGGAAATTCTGCCCCAGGGGAAAGAGACCATCATTTTCAAGCAGTTCTTCAAGAACTGGAACTAAGCTTTTCACCGGAACGTTTGACACGTCTGGCACTGGAGATCAAGCTGCACGCCGGAGCTCGGAGAGCATCAGATTTAGACGCTTCGTTTTTTATATGAATTCACCTCCTCGCACGTACTGGAAACCAGATGGAGAACGCTGCAGATTTCTTTGAACTTTGGTAGAGATGTAATGCCACTTTTATAAAAAAACACAAAAAAAAACATTATTTTTTCTTCCTGTAGTGAGAGTGTTAAATTACCAAGAAAAAAAATATTAAAAAGAACCTCAAGTGAAGAGTTTTTTTTATATTTGTTCTGCATTTGGAAAATAAATCTGAAAAACACTCTCTAGCTTTGAGTTTTCACTTCTAACAACAGTCTCCAGGTGGTTTTAGGTCACCTTTGAAATACACTGACTGCCTCCCACAGCTCTCACGGAAACAGTCCTTACATAACTTTTGGAAATCTAAATCCTCTCTGACTGATATGGTAAAACCCTGATAACCTGCAATAAACGCAGGCATGATAACTGAACCCAACTGAAAACAAAAGCCCAATCATACTGATACCTCAGATGGAGTTTATGTAGATTAATTCATGAATGAATATGAAAGCGATCTCAGCTCTCAACTCTCACCTCCATGTTGGGTTACATCCGTTTCTTCCTCCAAATAGGTCTGAAATAAAGATTTTCTTCATTCAAAACACATGCTGCCTCCCACTTATCTGTCATGTTGTTTGGATGACCTCCAAAGATGCTGATAGATGTAAGATTACAATCTTGATTACAATCTTGATTCCAACTCAGAGGGTCACAATAGAAGTAGTGTAGTTGGAGTGCACATCACAGTTGGGCTGTTACATATAATAGGGATGCATGACCATTTTATTACATATAAAGTCTACTTCATTCTGTATTTTACTGTCTGTTTTAGAGATATTTACTGAAACATAATTAGATCTGAGTAAATCCAAAGTTACTTAAAATCATCTAATCTAACCTTTATTTATGTGTAAAATGTTAAATTTCCCTCCAAGTTAATCTAGGCTCTCTATAAACCCCATGAAGATGTTTTCAAAGGTGCAATTCCAGGCGTGCTCACTCTGTATGTTCAAAAGTATGTTCAAAACTCCTCTCATCCCACTTAGAGGAAAAAGTGTCATCGCACTTTTCTGGTTCCCAGCAGTCTGGTTAAACAAAGCCCTATTTATTCATATGCAAAGCCGTTTAGGGATGAGAGCTACTGGTTCTACATCAGGAAACAGAGCAAAACCTCGAAGGGGAACAGGGCGGCCCTGCAGATGACCGAAAACATCTTTAACAACAACAAAAAACTCCAACAAGTTTTCATTTTTTGGGAAAATCCCAGTTTGATTAAATCTGTTAAAGTTTGACTTTCATGATTGATTGAACAGAGACCCATTAACATTAACTTTCTGAAATTAAACAATTTTATTTGAATCAATAGGAGTGGAAACAACATGAAGCTGGACTCCATATGATGTAAGACCAGGTCAAAACTTTATGGTTGTCTCCTTTCACCTACTTAAAAGCCTACCAGTCCCTCCCCATGCTGAGGAAAAGATACCTCTGATGATGGTATTGAGGGAAGTTGTGTTTTCATATCCTTGTTGTTATTTGTGATGGGTAGTGAAACCCATCCATCCATCTCTGCTCTGCCTCTCTGACTGTTTTTTTTTTCCTATAAGCAAACAAAGCTAAAATAATTAAATGATCTATATAAGCTCTGCTGCTTATAGAAACTGCAAATATAGAAACAGCAACTCAGCCGTTGCTTTAATAGTTTACAATAACTCCGGCCAAAATCAGAGTTTGTGCGTCACTCGCCCTGATAAGCGCTTATTGCTGTCATAAAGCGTTCCGCCTTTATGCCTTCATGGTGACTCTGAGGAAAAATAGCAGGAAGCTGACCAGATTTCTTGACACGGAGCTGCGTGTAAAGTTTCCCTCCCCGTCTCACAGTCCATAAAACAGTCCAAAGATCAAGGTGGTTCCCTAAGGGATATAAAAGGACTTGCCAAGCAGGGCTGGCTGTCCAGTTCTCCTCACCAGCAGAGCTGCACCAGCGCTCCGACCCAGAGCAGGTAAGGAGCATCAGACCCTATTTCTGTTTCACTGTTATGCACCGCTCTTTATTTGTGATTGTTTTAGGGCTTTGTTTTTGTTTACATATAATATACACACATACATATATATGTGTATGTATATGTATACTATGTGTACATAATTATATAATTATAAATATGTTGAAGAAGTGATTGTTATGTACCTCTCTTTATTTGTGATTCATTAAGGGGTTTGTTGACATATTATTATGTAAGTACATGTAGGTATATATATATATATATATATATATATATGTATGTAATTATATATATATAATATTAGATATATTTACATATATATGTGTACGTATAATCATATATTTTACAACTCATCTCAACACAACTTTATTTATAAAGCGCTTTCAGTCAGCCAAAGCTAAAATCAAACGCTGTACAGGCCATTTGAGCGAATCATAAAACACAATTATCACCTCCACACAAGACAAACTCAAAGATTAAAAACAGTAAGAGCAAAAATGAAAAAACAAAAACCAAGTAAGTAAACCAAGTAAGAGAGGGATACAAGATTTTATCGTAAAATTATCTTGTGTTATTTAATTTTTATTTAATATATCTTAATTGCAGTATTGCTTCTTTGATGACTTCCGTTACTGCTGGGAAAACCTTTTCTCAACATGATTTCTTTTCTTTACAGTGATGAGTGAGAAGATGGACATGGAGATGAAACCTATTCCAAAACAAATCAAAAGTGAGTTTACCTTATCTGCGCCACGTTTTTTAATGCTGTAAGAAAAGGATGTAAAGTTAAGGCCCATTCAATGCTCATGAGTGTGATTGGTGATTTTAAAAGATGAACTGACGCTTCCCTATCTCTCCCCTGCAGGGGTGAGCATCATGCTCAACTCAGAGGACGGCAGAAAAACCCAGAGCAGCTCCATCGGCGCCGTCCGCTGGACGCTGCCCGAGGAGAGCGTCCAGATCCACAGCTCGGCCCCCAGCATCCCCGCCACCCAAAAAAGCAGCCTCTCAAAGCACTCACAGGTGGGACGCAGGTTTAAACGCACGCCTCTCCCAGCTGTTATCCGGCCCGGGGCGAGTAAGTGACCAGGGGTGCGTCCTTCTTCCAGGAACGTCGTCATAGCAACCTGATGGACCTCCGCAGCCTGCAGGAGTGCGTGCAGTTCATCAACCACTGGAAGGAGCAGGTGGACCAAGTGTGCAAGGTAGGACGGAAAAATTAGTTATCCCAGGTCTCCTCATGGAAAGGCCGGAGGGAAATGTGCGAAGGAACCAGTTACTTAGTTGAGGATTGAGGACAGCAAAAGTTTGGCCCCTTCGGTTCCACAGTTATAGTAATTTTAATCAAAATGCCTCAAGAGTTTGTAATTCTGTGTGAAGAGATTGATTTACCTCCAAAACCAATCTCCACTGTTCTCAACTAGAACATCACAAGTTTATGCTGTTTTCCCTCCTTTCTAAAAAATGATCATCGATCGGCTACAGACGGTTAATCATTCCACCCTGATGTGCAAACAATTCTTTCAAACGCAGAAAACCAGTCACATCATTTCTCCCAAAGACGTCAAGCCTTGCTTTATGCTTCATGAGTCAGGGTGAGCCAGGATTTATGGCAGCAGTTGCTGTGGAAAAATCCCTTATTTGTGCATGAACTGCAGGGCAAGCTAGATTGTGTAGGTAGATGCTGATAGCATTTATGATTATTGAAACTTTTACGGCTTGTCTACGTCATGCCTTTTCTATAGAAACGCCTGACTTTTGACACCTGCGAATAGATAGGAAAAAGTGACGTTTCAGGGGTTTTTCTCACGCCAACTGAATTTGCGTTTGATGCGATTTCACAGGGTGGGAAAGACTCAGCGGAAGGCGCGGCTGAGAGAGAGGCCCAGAGTTCAGACCGCCGCACGGAACGAAGCCTGGAGGAGAGCAGGAAACTCATCCTGGAGTGGGCCGACGAGCTCCGCCACGTTGACAAGGTCCGTACAGTTTCAGAGCGGTCAGTACGGTATTTATCAGCTGCACTGATGACAAAATAGACCCAGTCACACGTTTTCTCTCTGTTTTTAGCTTCTAAAAGAGACCCCCTGGGCATGCGAGAGTCAAGAACATGAAAAGAAAAAAGACAAAGACGACAAAGAGGAGGCACAAATGAGGATCATGGGGTGGGCAAAAGAGCTCCAACAGGCGACCGAGGTGAGATCTCCCTCGAGTGGATTAGAGAAGTGTTTTTCAACCTTTTTTGAGCCGAGGTACAGTTTTTCATCGTAAAAATCTCGAGGCACACCACCAACCAAAAATGTTAAACAAATCTGTAGCCGCCTATAGTAACACTATAGTTATTCTTATTTTATTCTTATCTTACCTTAAGTGTCATGAATAGGAATCAAATAAACACAAAAATGTATTTTTATCTTATTTTATATTTCTTTTTTCAAATTGCACTTAACATGTCCACTTCAATATGCTAAATTAAATACAAAATCCAGTCATAAGGAATTATTACATGATTACGCCACCAGTCACTACAACAGCACAGACACTCAAAAATGGAATATTATTTGAAGAAAATTAATTCCTTATCAAAAATTATTTTTATACCAATTAGGTGAAATAGGACGATTTTCTACAGCACACCTGATGATCACTCGCAGCACACTAGTGTGCCGAGGCACAGTGGTTGAAAAACACTGGATTAGAGGTCCGAAACGAGCTCAGGGAAGTTGATAAATCAACAGAAATTCAGTCCAGAGAAATACAGCTGGGTGGCGTCGCCCTGCGTTGTGGAAGCTGAAGTGAGAGTGAGGTTTTGGATGTTTGTTTGTTTGTGCAGAGCTGCGGCGTGGCGAGCGAGGAGCTGGGCAAAGTGCTGCGCCTGCTGGGCCTGAAGAAGAAGAGGCTGGTGAGGCTGCTGCCCCTGCTGGAGTTCATCACCTGGTCGCTGCTCAGAGAGGAGAGCACGGTGAGCAGCGCGCACGTTTTAGAGCCCTCAAAGGGAAATGTGTGAGAAAAAAGTGAGAAAGCTATTTTCCAGACACTCACATGTGTGCATGTAAAAAAAACTAATGTGTAAAAACCTCAAACCAGGCCAAAACTGTTATTAAATTTGAGATCAGATGTGACCGGGTCGTGAGGCAGTTTTATGCCTTATGGAATTTGATCGAGCCCTGCCCTTTGCGTGCATGTGGCGCTGACAATAAATGAACTTTGAGATTCTTATTATGTGACCCTAATTTGCTGCAGTGCGCTGATAACAGAGAAGATTCTGCTGATAAACGACAGTCACCTTTTGCCGATGACCCTGTGTTTTACCTTCTAAACGTCTGGTAGAATATGAGGTCATCTTAAATCTGACCAGGAGCTTGAATGCTTAATAATAAATGCCATAGATATCAGGCAACGAGCTTTGTGTTGAAAATTCAAGAGACGATTATGTTGTTGTGACTTTCATATTTATTCCTTTCAGACAACAATTCCACGCTTATGGTTGTTGACAAAGCAGAGAACATGGAAAGCAGGAATTCCGAGATACATCCCCAACTCAGGTGGGCACATTAGTTAAAAGAAAACTGCAACAGCTGCAGACTCAAAGAAAAATCAACTGAATCAACAATCTGGTCACATGTACTTGAATAGTGAATTTAATGAGTTTTACACATTTTTTAAAATAAATATTCAAACAAAAAATTAATTTTTTTCATAAAATTTTAAGTCGGGAATTTTAATTTTTTTTTTTTTTTTTTTTTAATGTTTGGGGGTTGTTTTTAATGTTTGGTATCTACTGGTTTGTTGATCGACTTGAAATTTAATGAATCCTCTGTGTCTCGATTTGCAGTTTGGAGTTGCATTTGCAGTGCAGCCGGTAAGATGGGCCTTCATGTTTCCTTGTACGCCACATAACAATTATCACACGTTCATTTCTAACTAAATGGTTCCTCCCTCCTTCCTTGACAGCCGATGTCATTCTGGACCCGGCGACGCACCACCCGTGGCTGCAGCTGTCGGACGACCAGCGCAGGGTTCAGGAGGGCATCGCGGAGTCCGAGCTGCCCCGCAGCTCCCAGCGCTTCGACAGCTGGCCCTGCGTGCTGGGCTGGGAGGGCTACAGCAGCGGCCGCCACTACTGGGAGGTGGACATCGCCAACAACGGCTACTGGCGAGTCGGACTGACCACCGCCGACTCGGAGCGGAAGGGCCACTTCCCCATGACCCCCAAGCACGGCTACTGGACCCTGTGGCGGAGCACCAATCACTTCTACGCCTGCAGCCGGCCCGAGACGCAGCTGCCCCTCAGCCTGGTGCCGCGCCGCATGGGCGTCTTTTTAGACTACAAGGAGGGCCAGATCTCCTTCTACAACGCAGAAACCAAAACCCACATCTACACCTTCACCGGCAGCTTCAGGGGGAAGCTGTACCCTCTGTTTGCTCCCATGGACGGTCGCACTCTCATGACAATCATCCCGCCGGACCAAATCTCTGTAAAGTGACAGAGATGAGCATTTGAGATGCATATGGAAGGGAAGATTCAGCTTCAAAAAGAGAAGAAAAAAAAGCAAAAGTGATTGGACCTCAAGCTAAATAGTCAGAGAGCAAAAAAAGGGACATTTTTTGCTCCAACTCTTACACATTTCTACCCAAAATTCCCTAAATGTTACTTACTTATTACTCTCAATTTCTCGGTTAGAAACCTGTTTTCAGGGCTGAACGGTATCAAAGTGCTAATGGTACTGCTGATCGACCTAATGGACGTAACCAATCACAGCACTTTATTTATATATATATGGATACACGTCTTTGGAATAATGTTGAAAGTGAGATCTTTGTGATACAATGAAGGAAACACACAGTGGACATGGAAATGTCCATGCATGCACTTTATATTGCCCATAATAAACTTTTCTCATGAAAAACTTATTTTTGAAACATTTCTGTCTTTCATTGTGCAACAAAATGGATTTTTAAAAGCTCTGAATTCCCTCTTAAGCTTCAAATAATATTTTCAACTTTACATCTTACAATGTTCAATTAATATGTGTATGTTTTGGAAATTCATAGAGCAGGAGGATGTCTTTAAAGCCTGTTAGGACTCTCTTTTACAGACCCAGGGTCCATATTCTTCACATTCAGCAGCAAACACACTCCCCTCTCCCCTCAGGTCTGCACAGTCCCTGTAGTCAGTGTCCCAGTGCACCATCAACCTTGGAAAAAAAAACATTTCATATTATAAGCCAACCAGAGTAAACTCAATTTAGTCCATTTGAGCATAAATCACCTAGAAATATTACATATTGGTTCATTTTTGTGTGTGGATCACGATACTTATCATGCCTGACACAGTGTCACAATAAAATAAAACTGGAAGAAGATATTTGGGGTTATTCTCTATCACATTTGTTAAAATAACGCATTCAAATTCTGATGTTGCCATGGAAAAAGGATGAGTCCAAACCACGCGTTCGGCCTGCGGACTGGACTTACGGCATGTAGTGCTGGACGTCCGTCCCGTCCCACCACAGCCACCGTCCCTCCTCCTGGTCATCCGTCAGCCCCACCCAGAGGAAAGGAAAGCTGGAGAAGTTCCTCATCACTCCCTGCAGAAAATCCTGCAGGAGAGGACACACGGCAGAGGGCTGCTCGTATTTCCGGCAGAAACGTATCCAAAGTTTTTCTTTATTTTAGATTCAGGCCGTGAAACCCAAAGCTGAAAGTATAACATTTAATTTTCGAGACTCTGGTTGTTCACATGTTTAATCCGAATAGCTCATTCTCGGCCCATTCCTTTCCCCATTGCCTATGGGGTCATCGGCCCTTTTGGGTGGAGTCTACTTCCGACTGGACTTTGTCATTGACCCACGGAGCACATTTTACCATCTCTGCCGGGTCTCTGATCACAGCCAGGCTGCTGTTGTGCTGCCGGCAGAAGGCAGAGCTCTCGTTCCACGGACGGTTCTGATCCAGTCCCGGCGAGAAGAAGTAGCAGTGACCCCCCCAGGAGCGCCAGCCATCGGGACACCGCCTGCACCTGGGGTCTTCACACAGAGAAGAGAGCCCCAATTAGATCCCCTTTTGTTTGTATGTGGTTTACTCTGCAAACAGGCCCTTTTAAGATGTCCTGTGTCGACATTCGGACCTCAACCTGGGATGCTGGGCTTACCTCGAGTGAGCATTTGCTGCATCTCTCTCTGACACCGCTGCAGTTGTGCCGGCAGCCGCTCTGTCGAACTGACCGAATTCCCAACTGCTTCCCCTCCTGGAAGTTTTGAGAGCAGTTTTAAATGGTAGCAAAAAATTCAGAGTCAATTTGCATTGGAGCGACAGGCAGTGTTCGCTGACAAAAAAAGGGGGCCCAGTGGGAGGAGATTCATGTCCTCTGAGGTAGTATCCAGACTGATGTTTCTTATTTGGGTTCTAACTAAGCCCAAAAGAACATATTTGGACTTTTACAGGCTCCAGCAGATAAAGGACTTCTGAGACTAAACCCCCTTTGGACCACTAAAGGTATAAATAGGTGCTTTTCTTATCTCAGTGTTTTGTCTTCTTTGGTTCTTTTTTGTTTTAGGTTTGCTTGATGCACACATTTTAGCTTCAGGTTGTGCATGTGCTTTTTCTATTCTGTTATTTCTCTTACTGACCGGCCCAAAGTTCATCATCACTGTAGCTCTTCAAACTTTTGTTGGATTTTGGGCTTTTCAGCTTTACCAAAACATGTCGATGACATCAAATGTGAACCTCTGTTTTTCATAAGGCAGAAAAATGTTGTCAATATTTAGAATAATCTTCTTAGATTGAGTGTTTAGTTTGAATGACTTCCTCATGGTTGCACATGTACTCTCACAGTAGTCTATAGTAGACTATTTGGAGCCCCTTCAGTAGAATAACTGATTAGTCAAATCTGCCATCACTTAAAGGCATTCGTACTAAACAAATGGACTTCCACTCACCCAGTAAGATATGAGGCAAAAAGAGACCACTGACCACTGTGATCAAAGCCACAGCAAGAGTCACCCCAGCCCTCAGATGCCACATCTGGCAGCTTCCAGCATCTGTATGGACACAATCATTCATTTAGGTGCCTCCAAAAGGGCTGGAGGATATAAAGATAGAGTTTGAAAGAGTAGAGCTAGAATATATTTTTCATACTACTTTTACTTCAAAGGACTTTTGAGGAGAAAAGGGTTGGTTTGGGTTTCTCACCTCTTTTTTTTATGTTTTGGGTGGTTAATGTTACAAATATGCTGCAAAAAAAAGGTTTCAGTTCCCTAAAATTGAAACTTTGTAGATGTCTGTAAGAAATAAAACTGATTAAGATTATATTTTCCATTTATCCACAGGATCATCAGTTTTCTTCTATATTACTGTGCCGAAATATCCAATCTCAGACTTTGAGAGACTCACCGCTGACCAAGACAATAAATACCAGCTGCTTTGAAGCTGAATGTGAATAAACGAGAGGTGGCAGCACACAGGTTCATCCTTAGAGTTCTGATCATTTAAAAACATTTACAAAAACGTAATTGTAGTGATACAGAATGTATCATGCGCGCATGCGCATGAGAGGTTACTACGAGTAAACGGCGGTTAACGGATATCCTGGCTCCGGTCCATTTATTATATATGATGCATTGTACACGGTACAATACAGTAATCTCAAAGGTGAGTATTTGCTTAAAAACCAGGAGAACTGTGGCTTCTTTGGCAGAGGAAACTTTAGCTCTAAGGTGTATTTATGGAGGCGGCCGTGCATCTAAAATCTTCAAAAAAGACTCTGAGCCAGCTCTGCTTTGATCCAGTTTCAGATGATCCCATTCTTAAGTCTCTCCTTATCCAAGGTGGAGCAGTTTCAAACAGCTCCTGGAGACAAAGTGAAGAAACTGACCTGCTGGTTGGTCCCTCTGGCCGTTCTCTTGGTGGCTGAGGGAAGAATCCGTGCAGACATCTGCTCCTTTACCGGCGGTTCCACATGTGTCTTGACTCATATTTACGTTTTTCAAAATGTGAGTTTGTAGCCGAGGTTGTAGAAGACAGTCAAATTTTAGGGGAAGTTGGCACTCCGGAAAGATGGTTGACTATAAATATCTGTCCCCTCACAGAAAGTGCTGCTCTGAAGGTGTTACATGCGTTAGTTTTTGGCCTCACCACCAGAGCTTTAATATTATGCAAGAGCTTTTGCGTCTGCGTTTTATCATTTTTGGCATCAGGAAAGACAAAGTGTTTTTAAACTTCAGAGTTCAACAGTGTTTATTACAAATAGACTGCACCACTTATCCCAGATAATGTTTTTGACACCATTTTTTTTTTTTTTACACCAAAGGACCAGAAATATCATCCACTTTCAATGCTTAAGTGGTTCAGTTTGGATGCTTTTACAAAGGAGCAGATGACAAATGAGGCCCAGGTTAAATAAAACAAGGGTAAGAAAAAAACGATGCATGGTGACCAAGTTTGGAAGCTCTTGCAGGACAAGGAAGCACAGAACAAAAGTATATGGCGACCGGCCTGATCTTAACACATCAAAATGGATGAATGAAAATAAAAATAAATGAATGAAAAATGAAGAATGAAGAATGAAGAAGAATGAAAAAATGTATGCAGTTCTTCTACCTTTTAGCATGTTGTGAGAAACACAAGGTGGAATATTTCTACAGCAGATGAAGACTCAAACGGAGAAAAAAAAAATGTTTTCCGCCTCATTAACTTTAATTAAATTTCCAAAAAATGTGTTCTTTCAGGTTAGATTCCAAGTAGTCGTGAATCTGTAACAAAACACAAAAAAAGACAACGGTCAGTTTTAAAAGACTCCCGCTGGACGGGTCTGCTGTGGCAGAGGTCCAGCCTGGACCCAGCAGCATACCTCCTTCATCACTTTCGTCTCATTTTCACATTGGAGAGAATCTGCCGAAGAGCACATCATGGAAAGGCCGATTTCTACTTTGTCTGCCACTGCGGAACAAAGAGAGGCTGTGAGACGTACAAACAGGAAGTTTAAACCGAGTCATTTAGATGTCAACATTTGCATGTGTGGGGCACAAACACAGTGCGTGGACTTCACACGCAGACATCACACATCTGGGGACTGAGGGGCTTTTCGACCCCTTGGTTTGGCTTTGTGTGAAAACAAAATCTGATCAAAAATGAAAGAACGCTCCGGAAAATGCTCCCGGTGAGGTCTTGTGGCTAACTAACGGTTCGGGTGATTTCGCCAAACCGTTGTGACGGCTCACCTGTCATTTCCGTCAGGTTCACTGGCGGACTCTTGTCGTCTCCTGCCTGCGTCATCACCTCACATGTGTAATTGGTTCCCGACCTTAATCGATCAAACGTGAAAGTGGTCTTCTGGGTTTCACTTTGAAAGCTCTCATTCCAAAAGCCGGACCTGACCTCGACCAGGTAAGTAGCCTTTGTTACATTGGGGGGGGGGGCTCCAGTGTAAGGTGATGGAGTCCATTTTGACATCTTTGGCAACAAAGTTTCTAGGAGGAGCAGCCACTAGATTTAAGGAACACAGACACAAAGAGAGAAGGCATTTGTCAGATTATTTGCCTTTAAGAGATCCATATATCAAAATACAATACTACTGTTTTATGTGGAATCTATGTATGTGTGGTTATTTTCGACATGTAGTTACTCACAGGTAAATTTGGAGGCTGTAATTGGTGGGCTTTTGAGAATTCCAATGACAGCATACACAACCACAGTGTATTCGGTTGTCGTATTCAGTGTATCAAACATCACCGAAGTTTCATTCACAACATCTTTTGTTTTCACGACTGTCTTTTCCCACAGAAGCTCAGTGGTGAAAGTTAATGGACCCCCCTCAGCGGGCTTCCAGTCGGCATTAAGCGACGTGTCCTTTGTCACCACAACCAGGTGGGAAATCGGCCCTGGAGCTGCAGTAACAAAACAAAAAAAAGACGGGAAAAAAAAAACAGGAAAGAGGAAATAAAAAGCCAAGACAAGCGACGTTGACCATTTCTGTAAATCAGCAGATGGCGTCGAAGAGTCACCGGTGAAGTCCACGTCGGAGACGGTGTCCCCCCTCAGGCCGTCCCTGCCCAGCGCCGTCACGAACAGGCGGATCTCGCTGCCGTTGGGCAGACCGGTTACGACCGCCGAGGTCTCCCCTCGGCCGCGGGTTTCATTGAACAGCAACCTGTGGAGGGGCGAGGCCGTTAGGAGGCCCCCTCCAGAGACGGAGAGAACGGCCGGAGCTCTGATCCCCGCAGGCCGCAGGAAGGCACGCACGTTTTGTTGACGCTCAGAGCCACCACCTGGAAGCCGGTGAAGTTTCCCTCCGGCGGCGTCCAGCTGAGCACCAGCGACATGTTGGTATTGTCAGACACCTTCAGATCGGACACCTTCTCGGGCTCTGAGGGCAGACAGCAAACAGACAAAGCGCGGCTGTGTGACGACGCACAAACGGAAACCCGACACGAGTCCCTGTCCCTAATTTGCCTTTGACGAATTGAATCTTAAACCGCGCAACTGTAAAAAAAAGAGCTAATTTCAAAGGTTTTCACATCTTCTCACTGGTTTTGGTTAAAGCTTCCTTCCTGTTCAGCTTCTAGACTGAGAGAGCAGATAGAAAGAGGGAAAGGCCAAAGAGGGCAGGAACAACCCACTGGTGCACGCCGCGATGGGGGACGCCTCGCTCCACCTGGACCTGTCCTGGACGCCTGTGAGGACGCTGAAGGTGAAGCAGCCCCCGGGCATCAGGTTTTTCACCTCCGCCTCCTCCGTCGTGACCTCCACATCATCACTGGGACTTTTAACCAGGAAGAAATCGAACTGTCCCTCCGGCTCTGTCCAGTTCAGAGTGACCGACCGCTCCGTCACCTTGACCACGTTGAGGTCTTGGACCTCTTCGGGGGCTGAAAGAAGAAGAAGTCTGCGGTCGGTTCAAAGCTTGTTTTGAGTAAAGCAAACAGTGTAAAACCTGCTGAGCGTTACAAGCTCTGACTTAATTTTGAAAGCTAAATGACACAAAGGGACCTTTCTCAACATGCCCAAGTTCTTTTTTTCAGCTCAAACACAAAAATGGACGTGAATTGTTCTAAGATTAATATATATAATCTTATATAATAAGTCTTTAAACTGTTTTTACGGCTAAAGTTGAGCAAAATCGAGAGCCTAAGCTCAGAGGTGGAGCTGGAGGTTTGACGATTCATCAAAAACAAGTTTTTGAGCCCGAACAGGAAACGAACGCCGGCGACTCCCCGCCTCGGAGGCAGAGATCAGCCGGTGTACGATCCTAAATCAGACCAGCCACTGTGTCTTTTTCTCCTCTCCAGCTGCCTCGGCGGGCGCGTTTGTCCACCTTTACTCACTGGTGTAGAAGATGGTGGTCTGCGGGTTGAGATCTCTGCCGCACTTCACCGCAAACACCTCCACGGAGTATCCGGTTCCCGGGGTCAGGCGGTCCAGGTCCCGGCTCAGCTCGGTCAGGTTCTGAACCCACGTCTCATTTCCGCCTACGACATGGAGCCGGTAATGGCTGATGCCGTCGGGCCCGCGCTGCCACGCCACAGAGGCGCTCGTCGCCGTTATGCCGCTCACGTTGACCTCTCCGTAGAAACGATCTGTGCAGAGAAAAGACGAAAGGGGGCTGTAAAAACACGCATGTTCGAAATCAACACGAAGGAACTCAAAGGAACTTTTTGTACCTTCATAACAAATAAAAGGCAGAGGGTCCGAGCAGTCCCTCTCCACCCAAGGCCCGAAGCTGAGCATGGCCACGCAGGAGTCTTCGACGTAGTTCTGGAGTTCCTCCGGGACGATGGGGGGCAGCATGGGCGATCGCTCGCATGTCGACGCTATGGGCGTCGGTGGTGTGCTCACCCAGTGTGACTGAGTGGTGTCTGGTGCGTCTGGGGTGGTTGCGTCTGTGGGGTCTGTGATGCGGTAGCCTGCTGGGCTTTCGGAAGGTCCGTGCCTCAGGATTGCATCCGTGGTGCTTGCATCTGGAACATTTGAACCTGGGGTGTTTGAATATAGGGTGTTTGCATCTGTAGTGTTTGAATATGGGGTATATGCATCTGTGGTGTTTGAATCTGGGGTGTATGCAACTGTGGTGTTTGAATCTGGGGTGTATGCAACTGTG